GGTAACCTGTCCCCCACGTAGTCGCCGGTTACCGATCGGACTAAGTTCCAGGTACCTGGACTGGGGCTGGTGCGGGGAGGTTGGATCCCCAGTCGCACAGGTGGCGCTGAGGACTGGTTTAAATATGCCCAGGGCTCGCCTCCTCTTCCTATAGAGAAGGCCCCTGTTCCAGAGATGCCCTGCTCATCCCCATCACGAGCCACCTCAGGAACGAGCCATCAAGGCCAGAGGCCGCTCCCTCCAAGCCTAGCCCGCCCCCTGGTTCCTGATTAAGCTCAGACTCCTTCCTCCTTCCCGCGTGATGAGGGGATGATACAATTTGGGAGAAGGAAGCGTGTTCCCTCTTAGATACCCCCTTTTAGAGCGGGGTGGTCATTCTTTGGGTTTGAGCTGATTTGTTTTTCACGAATGTTGCCCCTTGGAGAAATTGCTTCCCCAGTGTAACTTCCCTCGTGCGCTGTATGACGTCGACGTGACGCAGCAGGACGCCACCCCTTTCCGTTCCATGACGTAAGCGGGGCACATGTTTCCGTGTTTGTCATCTCATCTTAATTACAAGAAACTAGATGATGCTTTAGACCTCTTTGTATTCCCAGGCCGCCCGTCAGAGGACCTCATGTGACCCTGTTTTGAGGCAGCAGACCCTTGAAAAAATTGTATTTCTACATTTTCCTTCTGTCATACGCCAAAATCAGGAAATAGAAATTGCACAAGTAGCATTCAAGGGAGTCTGGCCACCACAGATTTTTATCTGTCAGGGATCTATCATTGTGCTTCGATGTGTAAACGCTACTACTAGGGTTGATCCATGTCCTTGGCTCAAGAGGACCCCACGAAAGAACCATCATTTTTGGCTATTCGGTGACTTCTGATTTGGGAGTCAGGTTTTTTTTTTTTTTTTTTTTTTTTACTCTTAGAGAAGTCACAACAGCTACGGTTGAAACATTTTAATACTGCATGAAATCTTGCACTGTCAAAAGATAGTATTATGGCACTTCTGGAAACAAAGACAAATTCATTACTTCAGGTGTCATTCTAAGGTCACGACAGTTGCTGAATTGGATGGGGTATTGTCACCTTAAGTATAGTTTGATTTCTGGAGCAGCTTTGTTCCCTTTAGCGTTTGCCTAGTAAGTCATTCAGGCCAGCTTCAGCAGTCGGCCAGCAATAGTCTAATTTGATTCTAGTTTTTAAGCAATCAATAATTTAAATTCATGACTTTTTGTCTGTTCAAATTTTACTAGATGTATGCTTTAAAACAAATTCACTTTGCTGGTTTTCTCTTTGGCGAATGAAGTTATAAATGTTTATTTGAGAGGATGATGTGTATAGTGGACTCTAAGGGAGATCTGGATTTGAATTCTGATCCTTCTGCTTGCTAGATTTGTGACTTTGAACAAGTTACCTAGTCTTGCTAAGCTTTAGTTTTATCTGTGAACTGGGAACAGTAATATTAACCAGAGAACAGGGTAGCTATGGGGAAGTAAATGAAATTACAGATAGAGATGGGTAACATGGTGCCTGATAATCAGTAGATTTTTCAGAATGTGTTGGTTCTGTTCCTCTTTTTCATAGAAATGTGAGGTAAAACAGTAATAGGTATTGTGGGAAAATACATGGAAGAATAACTTTGTAATGTAGATCAGGTCCTTTTGCTTTTTTCCAGCATGAGTATTTCTGTTTTGCATATGATCTAGATAAGCATCCTTTCAAGAGCTGTGACATCAATGGGTAGAAATAAAAATGGAAATGTTGCAGAGTAGGAAAAAAGTAGGCTTCAAAATGCTAACATGGGCTAGTATACTATTCAAAGACAAATTATAAATTCCCCACATCATCTGTAAGGTGGGAATTCTAATACATGCCTTATCATCCAGGGTTGTGAAGATCAACTGAAGTAGTGTGTATGGAAACTTTTTATAAATGATAAAGTGTTATAAAATGTACATGATTTTTATGACTGATAACACAGTGCATGAGATGTTTATTCTTATTTTGTGATAGCAGATGATCTCCCTCCACCATTCCAGTATGTTAAGTGGTTGGAAGAGGAACTTGTTTTATATTTGCAGAAAGGATGATTTGAGTACTAAAATATAAAGCTTATACTGCTTCAGTGGTACTTCTGGGTGTCATCACTATATAGAGTCATGATGTTGTTATTTTTTGAAAGATCACTGCAGCCCTTCCCTTTATTACTATTCTGAAATGATTAAACCACGTACTAGTTTTCAACATTTAGCAGGAGCTGTAAATCCTCAAATGGCATAATATATGAAAACTAGAATGAGAACATCATTGACTTCTAATTGTAACTTGAAGGAAATTAATTTGCTTTTGATGTGGGATTATCCTTCAGAATGAAGAAGAAAATGATCATTTAAATTGACTTATTCACCTCTGAAAGTGGAGGCTTTCATTTAGAAATCTATTAAGAGGAATTCATGTACTCCCTCCTCCAGCTCCGTGGGTTTCCAAGTAATTTAGATATCATTTATTGGTTTTACTTTTATGTTTTCAAGTCTCAGAACTTCTTAGTGCCTTAAAGTCAAAAACTGTTAGATCCGTGTTGGTTTGTGTTGCTTAATAGCTGAATAGGTATGTGTTTTCATGATTTAATTATTAAGTAGATTTTTGCTACATCTATTCGTCAGATATAGTGTCTTCTCTTTTTTTTTTTGGAGGGCATAATATCTTCTCTCCATAAGTAAGTATTTCTTTAGCTTTGTGTCTCCTCATTCATTTATTTATTAAAAGATGTTTATTGGGTGCTTAGTCTATGCCAGGTACTTTTATTGAAAACTAGGGATTCAAGACAGTCCTGCAGGGGAGAGATCACTAAGCAGGTAGTTATAATACACTGTGGAGGGACAGTAATTAAGAGAGGTGTATCAGGAGTAAATAATTTTTAGTAAGTAACAATTGCAGGTAGGTTATTCCTGTTCCAGAATTTTACATAGTTTTATCAAACAAGTTTTTACTCCTTGTGGGAACACAGAGGGAGGAATTCATAACCTAGTGGTGTGTGTATTTTGTGTATTAGGGGGATAAGATTGTCAGTGAAAGTTTCTTGAGGCTTCAACTAAAGTAGAACCTGCCAGTTGTAAGACAGAGTGGGATAGCTTTTAAGTAGAATATGGTAGTGTAGGAACTGGCTTTGGAAAGGGGGAAGAGATTGGATTTCAGGGGTTGCTGCTCTTCCTGAAAAGTCTATGTCCTGAGTAGGTGAGCAGGAGGGAGATAAGTTCTTCTGGATGGCCATTAGAAGATGCTGCTACAAGACAGGAAATGAGTTATCACACAAGAGACACTTCTGTGTGCTGTGCTGGTTTCCAGGAAGCTTGTTATATCTTGTTCCTTTGGATATTCTGATCACCATTCTTTCCTTCTCCTTTCAGCTGTGATTTACAAGTCAAGCTAAAATGTCCCCAGAAGTGGCCTTGAACCGAATTTCTCCAATGCTCTCCCCGTTCATATCTAGCGTGGTCCGCAATGGAAAAGTGGGGCTGGATGCTACAAACTGCTTGAGGATAACTGACTTGAAATCTGGGTATGTACCAGAACCCATCCAACCTTTACCTGATGATAAACCTTTCTCACCAGACTCTTAAAAATTGAATACCACAGAAATTCAAGTCATGATCTTATCACTTGATTCAGTTGGTTTTGTCCAGTTCTTGACATTTATGTTTCTAGTTGTTTTATTTGTGCTTTATGATCAGAATGTTAATTTTTTTAAGCATATCTCTTTGTTAATAGAATGCTGTCTGGCTTTTAGCAAGTGTATTTTTCATCATTGACTTGTTTTCTTGCTGTTTCTTCTGTAATCCAGTATGCACTGTAAAAGTTGGGATTTGGGATTCTGAATCTGATGTCATTTGATAATCCTTCCTAATAGGAAAAGTACAATAGCTACCCCAAGTGAGTCATTTTTCACAATAGGGTTGAAATAGTAAGATCTCAGGCCTTGAAATGTTGCATTAAAAAACCCAACTTTTCAGTAAGCCAGAAAGAGAAAGAAAAATACTATATGATGATATCACTCATGTGGAATCTAAAAAAAAAGACACTAATGAACGTATCTACAAAGGAGAAACAGACTCACAGACATAGTTATGGTTACCAGCGGAAAAGGGGGTTGGAAGGGATAAATTGGGAGTTCAAGATTTGCAAATACTAACTACTATATATAAGACAGATAAAAAACAAACTTCTTCTGTACGGCACAGGAACCTATATTCAATATCTTGTAGTAACCTATAATGAAAAAGAATATGAAGACAAATATATATATATGACTGAAACATTATGCTGTACACCAGAAATTGACACATTATAACTGACTATTCTTCAATTAAAAAAATAAAAAGAAAAACCCAACTTTTAATTTTGAAATACATTTACTTACAGAAAAGTTACAAAACTACTACCGAAAATAAACACTGTTACATATTGATAATTATTCTGTAAGTCTTATTTAAATTTTGCCGGTTTTCCCGTTAACGTCCTTTTTTCCATTCAAGATCCAATCTAAGGTACAATTTGCATTTGGTTGTTGTGTCTTAGTTTTCCTAACCTCTGAGAGTTCCTGTCTCTGTCTCTAATAATTCTGACACTTTTAAAGATAGCAATGGTTAGTTATTTTGTAAAATGTGGCTCAATATGGGTTTGTCTAGTGTTTTCCCTTTATTAGAGTGAGAAACACTTTTTTTTTTTTGCCAAGAATACTACAGAAGTGATGTTGTACTACTTTCAGTGCATCAGATCAGGGAGTAATGATGTTCCTATGTCTAGTCATTGGTATATTAACTTTGACCACTTGGTTAAGATTGTGTCTACCAGGTTTCTCTACTGTAAAGCTAACTGATTTTCCCTTTGTAATTAGTAAGTATCTTGTGGAATGATGCTTTGAGACTGCAAATATTCTGTTTCTCATCATACTGTTGTCCATTAATTTCAGCATCCATTGATGGTTCTTGCCTATAGTTATTATTAATGTGGTGCTTATCTGAGAGTGATTTTTTTATTTTTGTATTCCTCCTACATTTAGTAATTTGAATTCTTCTGTAAAGATGGGGTATCCCTTCTCCCTAAATTATTTATTCAGTTATCTGCTTATGTCAGTATGAATTTTTAGGTATTTACTTCATTCTGTGGATTATAATCCATATAGTGTCTTCATTTATTTTGCTGCTAAGTTTTTCTAGCCTTTGTCATTGGGAGCTCTGTCATGTTGGCTTTTGAGTATATCCCCATCATTTTTTGAGCATTTTCTTACTAGGAGTGTTGCATTCTTGATTCTCTTTTAGTCTTTCTTTTTTAGGCCCTTTTGCCCTTTGTCTTCTACAAATCTTGCAAATCTTCTCTGACTAAGCCGAAGGCCTGGATATAAGGTAGTAAGACAGGGAAGACTAAGTTAGTTGGACCCTTCATTGGAACAGTAGGATGCTTTTTAAAACATCTGGTACTACCTTCAGTTTAATTGATCAGTGGCTATGAGGTTTCTTTTTGGGGTGATGAAAGTGTTATAAAATTGATTAGTGGTGATGTTATACAACTCTGTAAATATGCCAAAAATGACTGAATTATGTACCTGTAAGGGTGAATTTTATGATTTGTGTATTTTATCTCATTAAAAAAACCCAAACCTGTGTGCCAGGGATGTTTCCTGGCCTGAGTGTATAGGACATAGAAAAAGGTCTTTCTTCTTTAGTTTATCACAAACATTCTTGTCAGAGATATTGAAGACATGACAGGGGACTGATGGCCAGAGGACTGGGGACTGGTTTATGTAAGATGATAAAAACCTGAACTTCCTACTATTTTGTCAGTATCCTCAGAGAACAGTTTGGTTCAGCAACATAAAGTCACCTCACTTCTTTTCTGTAGACTGCCTCTTTGGTGCTTCCAAATTCCTGAATGTTTAGTTGAGTGTTTAAATGCAAATAGTGGATCTGATGATCAGTTTGAAATGAATCCACTAGACCTGGCCCTGTTTGAACTAGCTCTGTGAAAAATATTTGAAATGGCATATAATGATATGCAGTATTTCTGGAATTTGCTTTCTTTAGATTTAAAAAAAGGAATAAAAATACCTCTACCTACAGTAACAAAGTTGCTACACATAAAATGATGTGAAAATCGTTATTAACCTAGAACATTATTGATGCCTCTTATGTAGTACTTGTCTGAAAGATTCATGGAAGTTCTTTAGGGGCTCATTAACAGTTCTTTCTTCCATCAGCCAAAGTGTGAATTCCTCTAGTTTCTATAGCAAAACAGTGGCAGAGTTAGGGAAGAGAATTTGTGTGTATATGTGTGTGTGACTTTTGGCATTCTCCTTCTTTTAGATCAGCAGCACTTAGTTATGAGGATTGGGATCCACGTCTGGGATTTCTGTTAACTCAGATGGGGCATTACCTGTAGGGCACAGTATACCTGGAAGGAATAAAATGACGAGACTGGTATTTAGAGGTCACAAGAACCAGTCTCGTTACTCTATATAGCTACTTGTCCTTGAAGAGATGAGGTACCAGAGTATCTGTATTCTAGGTCTGGTTCACAGGAGGAATAGAAGATAGGCAAGAATCTATGCAATGTTTAAGTTTTTTTTTTTTCATAGCAATTCATCTTTATTTCTCTTATGGCAACTGAATCATTCTACCTGATCTGAGACCATGTGTGTTTCTAAACTCCATTGCTAGGCTGTTAAGGACAGGGTTCTTGTTTAATTTATTTTTGTGCCTCCTTCAGATCTACCATGATATCTTTTGCATGTAGTGTAGTAAGTAAGGGTTGAATGAATGAATGAATTAGGTGTTTTCCCAGAGAAGGTGCTTGGTTTGGGAATTAACATGGTTTGGTCTTATGGCTTGGAACATGTTTATTGGTCTGATAGTTTATTACTGAAATTCTGTTATACGTGATTCTTTTAAATGACATTCCCTGACAAATGAATTGACATTTTTGAAATTACAGTCAAGTGTGTTAATAGTGCAGGGTTTACTTTTCTAGGTGGAATATTGAGACCTGGAGGGGCCAAAGTTTTAATTTTAGGGAATTAGTCCATGAGCCTGCTGAATGCTTATTAGCTCTCTGCTGTATGTTAACTTGGTCACAAGCAGGTGCTATTTGTAAGATGCCATCTTTTGTCTTTTTCAGTGATTTACTAATCTTGAAGGTATCTCAGTGTTCAGCATTCCGAAGCGATGCCTGAGAGGAAAGCAGAGAGGGCTCACTGCGACCTGTGGCATCTCAGCCTTAGTGTCTCTTTTCAGCACATCACAGTGACTCAGCCTTACTGGCACATGGCTGTGCTTGGGGCATCTGCTGTGACATCTCATCCACCCACAACTACCTGTTGCGTTTTTTGGTCCATGTTCTGAATTTCAATACTTAGTTAAAAATAGATACTCAGTGTACTTGATTACCAAATAGAACAGTTTTAAAAAATAAGCTTTGCAGACTGATCTCAGTTTGGCTGCGTTGGTCTCTAGCTGGCAGGCTGAACCTTTCTTTTATTGGCCTTATGCCTGGAAGGAAGCTGCTGTCCTGGGAGGCAATAGTTTAATTTTGAAGATGGGCGACTTTTAACTTTGTAGTATCTAGTTGTTCAATTGGTTTTTCCATTTCACTTGCTTTTCCATGTTCTTCTGTGATCTTTTTCCTTTTTTCCTGTGCATATCTTTTTCCTTTATTCATCATATAATAAATGTATCTCCAAACAATGTATAGCATTATTTTGTATGTTTAAAAAGTGTATATAGGTTTATGCTATATATATTCTTCTGCAACTTGCTTGTTTTGCTTAGTATTAAGTTCCTGAAATCTATTTATAATAACACTTAACAGTTCTAGTTCTTTCATTTGCTTTGCTGTAGCATATTCCATTGTCTGAATATGCCTGTGGTTTTTAATTCACTCTCATGCTGACTGACTGTTACGTTGTTTTAAATTTCTTTTGACAAAGAATGCCATACTGAATATTCTTCTACCTTCACTCTATATGTAAGAATATTTTCTGGGGCAGTTTTTTGAATTGGTTGTGTTTACCTATTTTTGGTTGTAAAATCAATTGAATGAGTCACCTCAAGATTTAAAAAATGAATGAGAAGAGAATGGAACTATCAGAATGTGTCACACAGAGGAAGACTAAGCACTGCTTTGTGAATTTTCCTTTCAATTGAATAAGTAAGTGTGTGTGCACCAGGTCACAATGTAAAATAGGTGTGTGATGATCAAAAAGTTTGAAAGCTACTCCTTTAGAGTATATTCCTAGAATGGAATTGCTAGCTCTTAGGGTGTATGGTGTTCCATTTTATTAGATATTGCCAGGTTGTATCAGTATCTTTCCACCAGAAATGGATGGGAGTTCTCATTATTCTGTAGCCTCAACAATACTCTGTGTTGTCAGACAAATTTTTGCGAAGCTGATGGGTGTGAAATGATATCTCATTATGGTTTTAATTTGTATTTGCCTGATTACTAGCGTAGTGAAGAATTTTTTCATATCCCTATTGTGAATTCAGATTTCTTCTTTTGGGAATGACC